GTTTTTATTTTTATTTTTTTTTTTAGTAGTAATAACAGTATCGTTAAACTTTAACAACACGGCGTGTATCTCGACGTTTTCATGTTGTTATAAAAAGAAAAAAAAAAAAACATTCCGTCGAAGTACGCCGAGTGCCGGCGGCCTGTAAGTCGCTTACCTTTACCGCATGAATTGCAAAACCGCTTATTCAAAGATTGACATTTCCATTGTCGTTTGGATTTCTTTAACACTCCGTCATTAGCACGGGTACGCCGGATATCAAATCCTGCGTAACACCTTTCCCGCTTTCCGGTCGGCACGGAGGCACACGCGTCATCGGTAACAGCGCACCCGCCCCCCTTCCCCCACCCCGACCTCATTTTCCCCCCTCGTTTTCAGCCGGCGTTTCGTTACGCGTCCGCGCGCGGGCCGCGGAGTCCGTACATTAAATACTACGCGCGACCGGGGATTTCTGTCGGACACGGTGTGGAGGAACGTACGCACAATCCGCCTTTCGGTAGCGCATTTTCACGCGGCGGAGGATACGTGGCCGATCGATAGACACGAACTCGAGTCCGCATATTACGCTCGCAGGAGCCTATACGCTGTTATAGAAATAATAATACACCGTTACGACGACGACGCCGTGCGCGCGCTAAAATGGTAAGTATGACTATTTTTTATTTTTTCCTATATTGCCCTCACGGCATGGTTTTTCTAACGTGAAACGGGATCTTTTTTCTTTTTTCGTACACAATATACTTATACCCGTAAACTGCCACGCGTACTTGCCGAGGGTCGAAAGCACGGTTATCGAGTGTTATTTAAATCCGCGGACAACCGGCGAGTTATTATACTTGCGTCCGTAGGCTGGGTGGGGATTTGATAGAATGGCTGTCCGTGATTACGAACGAACGTAAATATCGCACGGTAATATTAAAACGCGAGTCCGGCCGACGTGGAAGCGAAAACTGGGAAAACTCCGGCTTTGAGACGTTTTCGGATTCTCGCCCGTCCGCCGGTTCCTACAATCCGGCTACCTCCTCCCGGCATGTCGACGTTCTGCACTCGGTGGTTACAGACTCGGTGGCTTGTTACGCTTCGCCCGATGCGCAACCGTGTTTTGGATGGGTAAAACTCATCACCGTTATCGACTCGTCGATAGTGTCTCTGCGGTGGATTACCGCGGAGTTTGTTAGTTTATATTTAACGCAAGTACGACGTCATTTAGGTTTTTTCACGGATTTGCAAACGGAAAAAAATGTATACGGATACACTCATCGGGGCCGTGTTAAAGAGCAATGGACAACGGCGCGGAATTCGCCCCGGGTCGCCGCGCCGTTTCGTTCAAAACTCCGGGGCACCCCGGCCTACCGGAATTAACAATATCGTTATAATTACGTCACGCGTAATTTGTTTCGTTTTCAAATGCTTAGAGTAATAATGAATGTTAGACGAGCGTAGTAGTACGACCCGGTAACGCAAGACGTGCACCTAGAAAATATTAGTAAGAATCATATTTGCCGCCGGAGGTAAAGTGCGGACATTTCAATGTGAACGGAAAACCGTGATGGACAACACATTTAGGCGGGACGGTGGATTAACCCCGTTTGCCCGGGTCGCGGTACCTACGCGTTCTACGAAACCCCGCGAGCGCGTTGTAGAAATATCCGATTACCGCGCGGCGCCGCCCCGGAAACCCCGCAATATCGCCGGTCCTCCGACGGTCTCGCGTCCACAAAAAAATCGCCATTGCGAACCGAAATACATTTCCTCTTAAAACACTAAACCCGCGCGCTTTTAAGAAATTCGACGGCGTAAACTCGGGGATGAAATTTCCGTCCGGTAAACGATGACTGCGTCCCCTCGCGGCCATTTCATAATTGTCTCGGATTCGTTTGAACGCTCGGTACTTTAGCCTGTGTGCGGATCTCGGAGGACAGAGACGAATTGAAAACGGCGTGCCCGTGTAAAACGCCGTCCTTTAGAAACGGAAAAATCCGAGCCCCTCAATCGTCGCGGTATAAGAAAACAAAAAAATCACTATACTTTGACAGTAGTTTTACGGCCAATTCGGTACGGGGAACGCGTGGAAAATCAGTAGGGCGGCCCTTCTTACGGGCTTTAAAATTTAATTTTCTATTAGGAATTCGTGACCGCTGAACATTGCGTTCGGTCAGTGAACGGATGTCGCGTGGTTTCGCACGGCCATTAGCAATCCGGTGTCCGCGAATCGTCCCCCGGGAGCAATCTCTCGTGAAATTCAGTTGTCGGCCTTTAATGGAACACGGCGTGCTCGCGTAAAATCGATAAAAAAAAAAATCATACAAGAAGATTCAGCACACGGATAGAGCGACCCGAATTCCCGAACTCCCGGTACACCGTACTGCTGCGGGTATTAATTTTCGGCCGTAAAACCCGATGAAAAACAAAAAAAAAAACAAAACCGAGATTATTTCGATTTTTCAGTTCGTCCCCGTGTATTACCACCGGGTCGCGTCACTCGCCGAAAATATCGGACGGCCGCCCGCGACGCGTCGTCATAAAGAATAATTTACGCCGTAACGTCGTAATCGGTTCATATTCCCCGCCGTCCGTTGGAAATATCGTGTCCGTTTTGTCGTTGTCCCGTTGACACTCGGCGTACTCTGCGGATACTCCTGCGCGCGACGGATTTACGGGCTACCCCCCCCGGGCTCTCCTGTCGGCAGTGACGCGGAATCCGCGAACGCGGCGGCGGAGTGGAAACGGGAGAAGCGGTGAAAAACAAAAATAAATAAAAAAAAAAAAATGAAAAAAAATAGCCGTTCGCTCGGCGTACGTATTATGTTATATTATATTATGTACGGTAACGTCGCCGTACGAGATCCATAAATACAGCGTTCGTTGCCGCCGCATAAATATTTATTACCGAGTCCGCGGACGAACGGTTCTCACGAAAAGCGTCTCGCCGGCACGCGCGTGTGTTTCGCGTCACGACCGTTTTGCGTCGCGCGCCGTCGTCGTCCCCGCGGACCTCCGGGTCCCGGCGACGTGCTCGCGCGCGTGTTTGTTTTTTTCTTTTTTTTTTCCGCGCCGGCCGCCGATAATTCACGTCCGGGGCACAACAGCGAACCGCGGTCCCGCGGAGACTTTACCCACCGCCGTACAGAACGCGTGCAGACTTGTAAACGGCGCGCGCGCGCTCGCGATAAACGCGACGGGCCGTCGGAACGCGCACGGGACGGGAGAGACGGCGACGGCGGCCCTTTGAACAACGGGTTGTCGTCCCGCCGGACAGGTAGTGAAAAAAAATATAGAAAGAAAGAAAAACAACGTTTCTCCGTCGACACTGGCTATAGCATTGTTACGTTATTCCGGCGGCCGCGCGCGATCACCATAAACTGCAAGGCAATACTCTACGGGTATTGCCGGAACGGCGCGTGAGTGCGGACGCAAAGGACGCGACTGCGGGGACGATCGTCGCAAAGCCGCCACGCGAAAACCCGTTCGCGGTGGCGGTCGTTGCGGCGGTTTCGAAATAGGAAAAACGCTCGTCGGCAAATCGGAAATCCGATTACGGTTTTTTCCGCCGCGTGCCACGTACTCGTTCTCGCGGTCCGACGACATTCGCATCGCGAAGGAAATCGTCGTTGGTATTCGCCCCGGCCGACGAGATAGCGGATCGGTCAATGTCATCGTCGAACATGTCCGACGCAGTGCAGACGTGTTCGGCGGGAAAAAACCACGGCACTCGTCTAATCGTCTAACACAACGATCGGCGATTTCGATTTAGATGATAAATGTTTCACGCGCTTTTATCGCGGAACCCGGCGCGCGCCGCTGGAACGATCCGCGACCGCGGTTGCGCTCGTGTTCGGTGCGGTGATCGTTTTTACCCGTCGACAATCGCCGTTTGTAAAAGCCCGGGAGAAGAAAAAATTCCGATAGTATTTCGAAATGTACAGTGGTTATTCGGCCGATCGCCGGTAAACGCCCGAGACGTGCGCGGGGCCGTTTTAAAGGTTTACGGGACTTTCGTTTTCCGTTTTTTCCGTCGGTTCGCCTTGGCGCGACGCGTCGACGGACATTCTGACGGAATCGCGGGGCACGCGGATTATCACGCAGTCGTAATGCCGCCGCCGTGTAATTTCGCGATAAAAAACGTCGCGAAACGACCGATAAAATCATCAAGTGCGCGAAACTGCGAAATAAGTGATAAAACGGGACGTTTTTCTCGCGCTATTAAAATAACGTCATTACGTGAGTACATAAAACGCGTGACGACGGGGACCGGTCGCACGAGAATTTATACCCTACTGCGTCCGGTAACGAGCGCAATATCACGCGAATCCGGGATGCGTTTGTTCTCTTTTTGATTTTTTTTTTTTTTGTTCCGAGTTTAGCGAGAACTTATTGGTTTTACAAAGATGTTTGTTTTTATTTTTTTTTTATGCGAACACTTTTTTGTCAATTGGCAACCGTTTTTAATTCTTTTTCGTTATTATTAAGCGTTTAGTATTTCAATATCTTTTTCAAACGTCATCGGTGTCATGGTAGTAACGCGCATTGTTTCAATCATTTTACCATCATTCGACGTGTATATTGTCGGCGGAGCCGCGCTATCAACTGAACCCCGCTCAGAATTGTTTTTTCGCTAGCAATGGTTTACCGTTGCTCACAGACAAATCCCCGTCTGTATCCCACCTACCCAACTTTCCATCTAAAATAGCGGCTGCACCCATGTGCGAAGTATGTCCGTCTTTTTTTTGGATTCTTATATCGGTTTTATAATAACGTTTGCGTTTGTATTTTTTTCGCCGTCTGAAAACATAATAATTACGATAACCAAGACAATCGCCCCGATCGAAAATCTCGCGGCAACTGCCCTCGTGGAATTTCGGATTTTCGATGCGCAGCGTCTTTTCTGAAAGAAAATGTTGTTTTGACGGTGCATTAGGAAATCGCTTTCCGGGGGACCTTTTAATTTTCCTAAAAACTGTGTAGGAACAACGGAAAAGTTTACACGGAAACAGAGATTGCGTTACTTTCGGTTTTGCGTGTTTGTTGCGATTCGGTTGAAAATAACCGAAAAGACGTTTGAATTTTTCAAACGGTTCCGGCTATTATCGTGCGGTTTATAGGCATTCGATATTTTTTTCGGTTTTCGTATTGGTTTTATTTGGATGAAATTATTTTTGGCCGAGCAGAAATGCTTGAAAATTCTACTCGTGGTCCGTCGAATTAAATTGTAAAAATGTTAAACGTATTATTTTTTTAGCTTTTTTTAAATTAGAATTTTCGACGAAATCGTAACATTTTAAAACGAGCCGGGGCCGACCTTTGCCCAGAATTGTATTTCGTCAGCAATGACGATGTTTTTACTATTTTATTGTCGATGAAATAGAACATTTTTAATGTAAAAAAAAAACCGTTATTGTGATCGATTCGCCCGTAACACGGATAACGATCGAGACCGGGATAGACCCCCGTTTCGACGACGGTCACGGAAATATAACCGAAACGTCGTTTTCGGCCGAACTTTTCGGCATTACGGGAACGAACGGCCGGCGGGCGCGGGCCGGTCTGCTCACCCGCGTTCCGGACGCGCGGTTTTCGACCGGTTTCAAACCTCGGCGGACCCGATTCCCGGGCGCGTCACGTCGTTCCGTCGGGAGTTTGCCGACGCGCGACGCGAACGCGATTTCACCGAAATTCGAATGGGTGAGTGGTGGGGGGGGAGGAGGAGCGCCGAATGTCCGTTCGCCGGGCGCGACAAACGGAACCGCGCGCGCGTATTAAATATTGTACGGTACATGTATACATATATATATATTTTTTTTTTTTTTATTGTTTATGTCGTCAAATTACAATCGGTTCAAAATATTATTACGCCAAAACGGTATATGTACAATTAATAATAATAATAATAATAATAATAATAATAATAATAACGTTAAAGTTACACGCGATAATCTTATAATCTTACGAGTAGTGTCGGATACCAGTGGTAGTATATTTTGTTATTACAGTTGAATATTATTATACAATGCGAACGGGGAGAAAAAAAAAAAAAATAATAAAAGCGTTTTACAACAATCGTATAATATACGCGTAGAGAGTACAGCCGTAGCGTGGACAAATATGACGTGCGCGCGGATAACGGTAGACCCGGACGGGACCGCGCGAGGCGCCGCCGTAACAGTGTCGCGGAAAACGCTGCGGCGGCGGTCGCCCGCCGACGAGTGAGCCGCGCGCGCGACCCCCGACCCCCTTACCCGTATTTCCCGCCGTCCGGTACGTTCGCGACACGGGACGTAGGCGCCGGCGACGAGCCGGAAAAACACGATAACGGTACGTCACCGGCGACCGGTGCCGCCGACCGCCCGCGCGCGGAACGGCGCGATTCTCGACGGTCCGCCGTGTGTACGTTCAACGCGTTTCGGTGTAAGCGTCTCGCGTTCGTGCGCGCTCGGACTTGCTACCGCGGACGCGGCGTCCGGTCCGTTACTGCGCGAATGTTTCTTTTAAATATCACGCCCCCCCCCCCACCGGGGTAACAATTGTCGTCCCGTCCGCATCGCTGTTATCTACTGCGGGCTATATAAGTAATAATAATAATAATAATAATAATAATAATATTTAGCGCATTCACTAATAATAATACATAATGATGATGCTTAATTTTAATAAAAAATAAAATAATCACGACGCGTAGTAATAGGTAGGGTTTTCGTGCGGAAAAAGTCACTTTTTTTTTTTTTTTTTTTAATAATAATTTTTTAGTCCTACCGGAAAGTTTCGTAGAAGAAAAAAAAAAAAAAACGTAAAAAAATTAGAAAATCCGTCGGAACACACACACACGATATTTTAAACGGAATAATGTGTATCGGCGAAGCGATTTGATCGAGATGACGTCATTTTTTTTCTTTTTAATTATAATTATTATTATTCGTTTCGGTTACGATTTATTTATTTCTATTAAAACGTTACAAATTTATATATCATTAATATTTTAAATATTATTCGCATAATATATGACTAGATGCGCGCGTGCATTGTGGTGACGTTCGTACCGTTGAGTAATAATCGCGGTCCAAAACGAAATCCCATGACCGAAAACCGGACGGGAAATGTTCCGGGCGACACGCGGACGTAAATGACTCCGACCCACTCTAGCGGTGAATGTAACAACACGATTATTATTTACCCGTTATTGTGCAACATCGATAACATTATCGTCGGCCCGTTTAGATTTTTAGCTTTTCTAGTACAGTTTTCTCGACGAAAATCCAGGGTCGTCGACACGGTCGCCTATCACGTCTTACCGTAAACAATAATCGCCGACAGTGTCTCCGCCGTCGCCCGCCCACCGTGTCGGGTCCAGTCCGTAGTGAGTCTGGTCCGCGGCACAAACAAACGAATTGCGTTTAGAGGTTATTTTATTACGTACGTACATAATATATATTATTTAAATTTAATACATAATTTTTTTTTTTTTTTTTATTTATTTACGGGATTTACTTACGCCTTACGCGATAAACACGATAGTAATATAGTTATGTACACCGCGCAATAAATTATTATAGGATGAAATGTACAACGATATTTTCATACATGATAAATTAATAATCAATAATAATAATAATAATAATAATAATAATAATAATAATAATATTAATAATAATAATAATGATAATAATAATAATAATAATAATAATAATAATAATAATACATGTATATAAATTATATGTACAACGTAAAAATATTTATACAAAAACGAAAAAAAAATTTAAAAAAAAAAAAAAAAAAAAAAAATAAGGGACAAAAAACATTGGTTTAGGACTCCGGTGTGAAACGATTAACGATGTATTTGTAGACTGGGGCTCCGGAAACGATTTTTCCTTTTTCCGTTTAGTGTCGGATGCGCGTCACTCGCGGTTCCCGGTGCGATGTCACGGCTTCCTCGTCGAGCAGCTGATGAGATCTCCGACAGCGGCCTGTAGAAAATGGAAAAAAAAAAAAACCTTTACAAATGAAAACGAAAATCTGCGATCGCGAAAAACTGCGATTTTATTGTATTATTAATTGTCCCGCTCGGCGTAGACCGTGTCAATTTAGTTTCCCCTACCCCGTTTTTTTTTTTTTGTATTCAAAATTAAAAACTTGAATCTCAAAAAGAAAATCAATTTAAGACGCGATACCCGAATGTTTTGTCTTAAAAACTTACGGCGTACCGAATTTGAGTTCAGCAAGGGCATATCCGTACCGTTCGTTTAAATCGTGAACTGACCGGTTATCAAAATTAAAAATCGAAAAAAAACGCCAAGACCGCTTCAAGTTCGATAACTGATCGATTCAGTTTAATACAAAAAACCGTAGACCCTTACGCTTTGACATTCACACAGAGAACCGATAATTGTAGAAAAACAACGCTCCAATAATGCTATACGGTTTTGCCCCGTCCACGGGGTCCAGAAGTTCCGGTCCAGTTCTAGTCATCGTGTTACCCCGATTGTTCATAATGCGTTACGCTGTTTACAGAAATACAGAATTTTCACACGGGACGGCCGACCGACCGACCGACTGTTTCTATCGGCTGTCCTCGGAGCGCAAACGTCTTTTATACACCTCTGCGGACCGAACACGCCACCCAGTTCTCCGGACGAATGTTCCGGGCGTACCTGCGGGTCCACGGTGAAAACCGACAGCACGAAGAAGCCGTGTCCGCCGAACGCGAGTTCGTCGTGTCGTACGTCCGTACGACGGAAACGGTACGCGCGCGTACACGATACATACGGGCATCGCGCCCACCGATACCGATAATATTTTTCCTGATATGCAATGTCGAAAGAATAGCCCGTACGACTTCCCGCACTTCGATAATCGATTTTCAAGAGCCGGAGTCCGCGGGCGCCGTGGGCCGCCCGCGCTCAAGCTCCCCCTTTTTCGGGGCGCCGCTTACCGTGTTCGCGGCAATCCGCTAAACGACAAGTTTGTGCAGATGCCCGTTTTAATTAAATCCCGCGCAACTGTTTGCGTATAATATTATGCCCCGTTAATGACCCGGCTCCCTCGTCGGAGACCAATTAGACGCGGGACGACCCTCGCGGCACGTCGAATAATTGAAGCGGAAATCCCCTTGTCGTTTCCACGTGGCCCCCGTGAGCGTGGAAATATAATCGCCTGCCGCGACGAAAAAGGTCGCGTCTCATTCTCCCGGCTTTTCCGATCTCCTATCGTATCGCCCGTCGCGACGAACTGTTTCGCGTTTTTCACTTTTTCCGATTTCGAATCCGATTCCTTTGGATGGGGGTAGACCATTACCAATACCCGATAAGACGTTTTCGGCGGGCGATGCTCAAAAAAAAACAACGATGCGGCCTTTTTCGTTGCGGCTACGTTCGAAAAACGATCGCAAAAAACAAAAATAATAATAATATCCCCCCCCCCCAAAAAAAAAAAAGAAAAATCGACCGACCGATAAATGGTAATTAAAAGAAGATTAAAAAACAAACGTGTGTCTTACCTAAGTATTTGGCAAAGTCCAACGACCGGGGAGCGTAGTCCAACAGGGGCGGGCACTCAGCGTCGTCGTGCTGAATGACCTTGTGCAGGGCGGGCGACCCGCGGCCGCCGGTCCTGCGGTAGGCCAGGACCAGGGCCAGTAACAGGAACAGGGCCACGCTGGCACCGACCGCGGTCAACAGTTGCCACTGGGTGTGGCCCAGGCCGGCCGCGACGACGACGGGAGCCGAAAGTTCAGCCGTCACGTCCTCCATTCCGGCCACAGCGGCCACGGTCTCGTCGTCGTCGTCTGCGTCGGCAGAACTGCCCCAGCGGCCCGGTACGGTGATCACGGTGGCGGAAGCGGTGAAAGTGGTGATTGCTGCGGTGGTGTCTTCCGGGGCGGTGTCGCTGTCGGTGGTGTAGTCGCGGAAGGTGGCGTCGGCTACTTCGTCGGTGGCTACGGTTTCGGATGGTGCGGCGGTGTTCGCGGCCGCCGGCCCTGCAGGTCTGGCCGCTGTCGTTACTTCAAACACGGCCGCCGGGGTCGAGTGCACCGCGCTCCTGGTGTCCAGCAATAACGTGGGGCTGGTGGACATTTTCACGGAATCGTCGGCTCCGCCCAATAGTGACACCTGTGGGGAGGACATAAAAAAAATAAAATAAAAATAAGTTTAAAACTACTGCATTCGCCGCGAAATTTTCGTCATAAAGACCTCAACGCCCTGACAAAGATTAAGGTACTCCTGTAATTCGGTTATGAAAATGTATG